TCATTAAACTAGACATACCCAATTCCAGCAACCATTCTTTATATGTTTTAGCCTCCAGACCTCTAATCATCTTTGTTGCTCTTCTCTGTACTCTTTCGAGAGTCCCAACATCTTTTTACATCATGGTGACCAAAACTGGATGCAGTATTCCAAGTGTGGCCTTACCAAGGCATTGTAAAGTTGTATTAATACTTCAAGTGATCTTGATTCTATCCCTCTGTTAATGCAGCCCAGCACTGTGTTGGCTTTTTTGGCAGCTGCAGCACACTGCTGGCTCATATTTAAGTGATTGTCCACTAGGACTCCAATATCCCTCTCACAGTTACTAGTATTGAGCAAGGTACCACCTATACTATATGTCAGCGCTGGGACCATTAAGAAATTGCAGCCATTTTACCTTTTGCTTTCTTTGTGCTTTTCTGTTGTTTGGGATTCTCAGATGTAGAATGGGGGAAGGGGGAAATGCTGGGCTTTTTCAGTTAGCCTAAACAATTGCAGCTGGGGGAGCTTCAAGGTCAAATCTAGATAAAGTTTTGGAAGACTGAAAAGTAGGGAGGAGAGCCCTCATTTTAGATTAATTGGTGAATGTGATTTATGACAGCCTTTCTTGGGTGGGAATTGCAACTTGTTACATTGTATCAGGGGGGGAGGGAACTTTAGTCTTGGGGTCAACTATGTAATTGCCAATACTTTGTTTCCTGAATAAAATGTCCTTTAAGGAAGAAATCTTTGCTTTGAAGTTCTTTGAATTGGCTTTATCTAGCGCAACCATGACATTATACCTGTGCATTTGCTTTTTCTTGCCTAAATGTAGAACCTTACTTATTTCATCACTGAATTTCATTTTGTTAGAATTTCATATTCCAGTATTTGAGAGGTTGCCACTAAAAGGAGGGGGTCAATTTATTTTCTAAAGCACCAGAGAGCAGGGCAAGAAACAGTGGATAGAAACTAATCCAGGAGAGAAGAAACCTGGAATTAAGGAGAAACTTCCTAACAGTGAAGAAAATTAACCAATGGAACAGCTTGCTGACAGAAGTTATGGGTGTTTCATCACTGGAGCTTTTCAAGATGAGACTGGCAATCACTTGCCTGAAATAGTATAGGGCAGTGATGGCGAACCTTTTAGAGACCGAGTGCCCAAACTGCAACCCAAAACCCACTTATGTATGGTCGGGTGTCGGGTGGGTGTGGCCCATTGGGTGGGTGTGACCAATTGAGTGGGTGTGGTCCATTGGGTGGGCACGGCCCATTGGGTGGGCATGGCTGTGGTGTTAATGGCAGAGTGGGTGAGATTAAAAGTTCAATCAATCAATTCCAACTTTGTGAGATCTTTTTTTCCCATGAGAAGTGAAATTGATTGATTGATTGAACCCTTTTTTTTTTTTGCATACGGCAAAGGCCTAAAGCAAAAGGTTTTATAAAACCCAGCTGAAGGCCTAGGACTGGGTTATATAAAACCCAGCTGAAGGCCTAGGACTGTGCCCAAAGAGAGGGCTCTGCGTGCCATCTATGGCATGCGTGCCATAGGTTCACCACCACAGGTATAGGGTCTCCTTCTTGAGCAGGGGGCTGGACTAGAAGACTCCAAGGTCCCTTCCAACTCTACTCTGATTGAAACAAATTAATCATGGAAAACCTCAGCTAGAATGTTCCAACTGTAATGGCTTAGTTTAGAGGTGGATTAAATGAATCAATTGGCACTGAACTCATAAGGCAAGGACATCAACAGATAGTGGAGCAAATCTACCATCTTTCTGTTATCATCCACTCATGCTTGGAAGTTATTCAAAGCCAGTTTGAACATCAGATGGAGAGCTAACATCACAGGTTAGCTACTCAGCCTTCTCTCCCTTGTTGCTGACAAGGACTGAGCCATGGGGAGAGGAGCCCATTCAAATAGGAGAAATAAAGAGATTGCTTTTGCTGAAGAAAGAGAGACGTGTAGAGACCTGGCATTGTTTTTTATTGTTGTTTGTTTCTTTGTTTGTTTTACTGTGGAGATTCTGGGCATATAGTGAGAATTCGCCTAACCAGAGCCTCCAGAAAGGAGAAAGACCTCTTAGCCAAGGCATGGGAGACCACTGTGCTGAACACAGAGGCCAGAACTAGGGAAACTGAAGCATCCCTAGGGAATATTCAGACATGAAAGAAAGATCAACCCCACCTAAATGAAGATACATCTTTGAAATTTTATGTTCCCTTGACCTACCACTGGAATAAGGGACTATAGGGTTAGTGGATTCTGGGGCAAGAACCAACTTTATAGATTTTGCAGTGGTTAAACTCTACAAATCCCTACAGTCATTCTAGGCACTTCAATATCTAGCAATAGCCCATCATACAGAACTGCTAACCCTGTATGTCACCAGCCACCTTCTCTTTCCGATCATCTTGAGTTCAGGGTGGCTGAAACTTCAAATCCTAGGCTGGAACTCCAGCTCCAGCTCCATCTTATCAACCAAATACGAGCAGCACATTAACAGATCCTTTACAGGAACTGGCAGAAAGCCCCAAGTAGGGAAAAGCTAAGATACCAGTTAAGTACACAGATTTTCCAGATGTTTTGGGAAGGATGAAGAAGCAGTCCTTTCCACACATAGAGACCACAACTGTGCTGTAGACTTGCTTCTGCAGGGCTATAATACCCAATAAGAGACAGTAATCAATGTCAACTAAAGGATGCCCCCAGTACTTTATTACCAGGATCAACACACAGAAACGTCTCAATCAATTTTCTGGGGCAACAGATGGATGCTCTCCTAGGAGCCCCATCAGGTACTGTTTCCCCAGTTTCAATTGAGGTTGGGGGCATTGAAGCACATGGACAGAATAGTAGTACCCCTATTTTAGGATATTGACTTTAGTAGCTGGAACAGGAAAGTGTACACCAGAAATGTCAAACTCATGACATTATGTGATGTCGCGCAACATATCAGGACTGTTTTGCCATTGTTGGCAATGAGGTGGGTGTGGCTTCCGGATGACACATCTGGCCCGTGGGTCGACAGCTTGACACCCCTGGTGTATACTGTAATAGGCCAGAAGACACAGTTGAGGTAGATTAGTTAGAGAGTGATGACTCATGCATGAGGCAATCTATGCTATGATTGGTTGCCTTAAGTATAAAGGGGGTATTTCCCTTTTTTCTCCACCTTTTTCTTCTGTGTGTTCTCTTTACTATTTAATTTACTTCATGATAGTCTTGTGTTCCTGATTATCTTGTGTTCTTTTATTCTGGTTGATGATAAAGACTGTTATAAAATTAAATGTTAAATATAATATATATAAAAAGTTTGTCTTAGTGTCTCCAATTTCATCTGGACAGTTGCTACACAATTCCTTAACATGTTATCAGCCCAGATGTGCCCTGAAGTAGCAGGAGTAAATTTTTCTCAAGAGTAAGGATAGTCTGATGAGAGAGTGAAAGTTTTTCATGAGCCCAAGGAAGGTTGAGAACAATTAGCTTGTGTACACAGCACAATGCTATCTGTTACAAGATAGCATTGTGCTGGAACAGCTTTTCCTTTGTCTCATCTTAATGAGTCTAACTTTCTCTCATGGAGCTTAAAAATGAGAATGTTTCTGCAGAGGGAGGATTTGTGTAAAATATCCTCCAGGACGTCTTGGTGACAAAGAGAAAAAGCCCTAGCGAGCATAATTTTGTACTGGGAAGATAGTCAGCTAATGCATGTACATGGGCTAACTAATCTGCTAGAGAATACTGGCTTGTCTTACACAGAATTTATGTAAGAGAGACCACAAGCTGTAAAGTAACTGTCATAAGAAAACTATAGAGCAAGGCTACAGTCTGGAGAAAGTTGGTTGGATCACCTCCAGTTCATAAGAAAAATCTTCCTTGAATTAGAAGGGCAAGGAATGGGGTTTTCAGAAGCACACAAAGTGTATATTGTGCTGAATTCTCTTGATGATATATGGGACATGTTGGTATAAATTGAAGTTTAAGGAACTTTCTTCTGTAAAATCTTATGACATACCATGTAAAGATTGTTTTTACCTTTTTATAATCTTAGCCAATTCGCCCAAAATTGCTGAAATGAGTAAAAGGTGTTTCAGCATAAATGTAGGCTTTATATGTAATGTAAGCCACTCTGTCTTTCAAATGTTTCTAATTGTGAAAGAAGAAATAATATTCTTTAGATTTTGTTAAAGTAGGAAACTTTAATGCAAGAAATTTTTTGAAGATTATTAGTAAACTCAACGTATTTTTTTTAAAAAAAGTGTGCATTGTAACTCCTCACAAAATATACACACAATAAATGACTAATACCTGCTGGATCTGTTTATATTCTATTTTGTGAAAAAGTGGTAGAAATCAAACATAGTAACTTCAAAAAATACTTTCAACAACTAATCATATATTTTATTACAAATCTCTCTTATATTACTGTCATTGGCATTTGTTCATTTAAAAAAAAATAGTTGAACTATTAGCCAATTATTATCTCATCAAAACAGAACAATTATCTCCTAGAGGAATCACCAAGTTTTCTTAGCTAGACCAAAACACCAAAGGCTGCACAGAACGGAATTATATTCTACAATGACCAAGGTATCAGTTTGGATATAAAGTAACACTTGAACCACAGGAAGTTTGGCACAAGGGTAATAATGGGTCTGTCAGATACTTTGCTTCAGCTTTCTACCCTCTGTTTTCCTCTCCCAGAGTATCTGTTCAAATCCTGGTGGTGTTCAAGATGCAATTTTGCGCTCATGTGGATCTTTAAATAAAAACTGATAGATTGTCTCATTAGGTGCATTCTCAGATATAAGCCTTGGATCAATCTTTAGATGAAGTATTGAATTATATGTACTTCCTGATCAATAGAATGGAAAAACATTTTAACAATAACAAAAGCATGAAAAAATTGTTTCTGATATTTTTGGTGCACAAAGTAGTTACTCTGAGATGTCCTGCAAGTGTTGCTTTCCTTGTACAACATGAGTGGTATCAGCATGGTGACTTCATCATTGGTGTGATGGCATCTCACATGACTTACCACCTTTATGAAATTAAATTTAGTGAAAACCCTTCTATAAAATCTTATGAAATACCAACGTAAGAATATTTTTCTCTATCTAATCTTACCCAGATTTTCAAAAATCCATTATATGACTAAAAGATCTTTGTTTATACATTTAGGATTTTTTATGTAATTTATGTCTTATATTTTCTGAGTTGTAACTGGTTGTGGGAGAAAAAATAACCTTTAGATTTTTTTCAAAGTCCTTGACATGAAATGTACAAAATTTAAGATCAAGAAGTCTCTATTTGAACAATTACTGACATAAAGAATTTTTTTAAACAGGTTTGGCATTATCTCTCTTAACAAAACAAACATATAGTAAGTAAGTGATACCTCCTGAATCTATTCATATACACTTTTTTGAAAATGTGATAGGAAATATACTAGTTTGAAAAGGGCCACTACTTATATTTCTTGTAGTACATATTTGTTGGAAATCATGGAAATACTGTTTAAAATAAATTTGAACTCTGCACAAATTATTAAGCATTTTAGGAAAGCCATTGTCTTATTACTACCATAAGATGTTTCTTACTTATATGGGAATGATGCCACCTTACAAGGCTTATAAACAAAATTCAATGGGGGATTTAAATTATTTGTAGCATAATCACCAAATTTCATCAACACGTCCTTGCCTTGGCCTTTGCTGTGAAGGAGATCAATGAAGACTCCCAGATGTTACCTAACATCACTCTCGGGTTCCACATCTATGACAGTTACCTCAATGCAAAGATGACCTATCGCACCACTCTGGACCTCCTTTTCAAATCCCAGGAATTTGTTCCTAACTACAGGTGTGATAGCCAGAAGAATCTCATGGCTATTATTGGGGGATTGGATTTTGTCACATCATCTCATATTGCTGAAATTACAAGATTCTTCAAGATTCCACAAGTAAGTGGTGAAAGGGTTAAACAGAAAAAAATCTATGTTCTCTTCTTGATGTTGTTATGAAATAATTAAGTGGCATTAAGATTAGCTTAGGTTTGTAAAAAGGTGTTCTGCCTGGCTTAAGGTCTATTAGTTAGCATAATTCTGAAACTACAACACCAAATACAAGAAGTGAATATCTGTAGACATTTGCTACATGAGGAAAAACGTGAACATAGACTTCTTTGCTTCTATCAAGAATTGATCAATTATATGTGTTTGAAGTAATTCCAAGAAATTCCTGCCATATTTATACTTAGAAGAATTTCACAAAAACAATTCCTTCCTTGGATATATATTATATGAAAACTAGATCAGAACAATTACATTTGATTTTACAACTGAAGAGAATACTGCTCTACTTTCTTGCAGCTGACATACGGCTCATTAGCCCAAGAGGAATTTGAGAACAGTAAGCTCTCTTCACTTTATTTCATGGTCCCAAAAGAGGACCATCAGTACATTGGGATTATCCAACTAATTCACCATTTCAGGTGGACCTGGATTGGAATTTTTGCTATTGGTAACAACAATGGAGAAAATTTCTTACAAAAAATGCAGCCCTTACTTGCAAAGAATGGAATCTGCTCATCATTCATACAGAGGCTTTCACGAGTAAACCTGGAAGACTTTCCACAAATTTATCAAACAATCTCAACTGTTTCATGGAATTGGATAAATAGCAAAGCCAATGCATTTCTTGTCTATGGAGAAGCATTGACAATTATGTGGCTAAGAATTGTCACATTTATGGTAGATCCTGAAAGGAAGGAAATTTCATTATTTAGAAAGGTATGGATCATGACTGCACAGGTTGATTTTGTATTATCAGGATTCCAAATCAGTTGGGATCTCCAGATGTTTCATGGGGCTATTTCATTCACTGCTCATTCAACAGCAGTTACAGGTTTCAAGGAATTTCTTCAGACCGTAAATCCTCTTTCAGTCTACAGAGATGAGTTTCTTTGGGAAGTTTGGGAACAGTTATTTGATTGTTCATTTCCAAAAGGAGAATTACAAGAAACGCAGAGTAGGCAGTGCACTGGTGAGATGAAGCTAGAGGATCTTCCTGGACCTGCTTTTGAAATGGAAATGACTGGACAAAGCTATAGTATCTACAATGCTGTTCATGCTGTGGCTCATGCTTTGCAAGCTCTATACACATTACATTCCAATAGAAAAAAAACTATGATGTGTAAAAATCCTGACCTTCCACATCTCCAGGCTTGGCAGGTATTCCCTTTTCATTGGACATTTCTTGTATTTCAATAAGCAGTTTGAGGTAGAATTAGTTTTTTGAACCCATTGTGTAAAGTCTTAATATTTTCTTCAGTTGGAATCAATGTTGAGAAAACAACTTAGAAATAAGTTGGAATTTCCTGATGGTGAGAACAATTAAAAATGAATTAATGGAACAGCTTGCCTTCGGAAGTTTTGCATGCTCCTACACTGGATATTTTTAAGAGAAGGACTGCCATTTATCTGAAATAGTATAAGATCAAAAGACCTTCTGGTCCCTTTTGACTCTGACATACTGTTCTTTTCTACAGAAAAAGTAGTTTCTGTTATTATTCTGGTCATTGAGAAGTTACTGTATAAATTATGGTTTATATGTCAGCAGACTTTATTTAGTAAATCACCACACATTGCACAATATGAGCTAGTTAAAGTGATAATTTAGATTACTTGTCATTGCCTTCTCCAAAAACAGTCAATTCCCCCAAAACTTTGTGTGGCTCATGAACTTTTCATGGGTAAAAAGCTGAGCTTCCTATCTCTATCAGAGTTTTAGAGGAATGAAATAAAAATGGTCCTTTTTAGATGAGGCATCCATAGTATGAAACATGTTTGCAATAATCTCTATCTTGCATCTCTCTATGGAGGAATGCTTGGATCTCAGATTCTAAAAACTGGCTAAAGGACATTAGTCAGACCTCAGACTGTCAAATAACTTTGTATCGATGAGGAAAGATTAGATATGATTTATCTTGAATTAGTTGTTTAAATATTGAACCTAAAACACAATTAAAGGAAGTTACAAAAATTCAGAATCTTTTTTTACTTTCTGCTTCAGTTCATTCTTTCCTTTCCTTATGTTAATATTAAATTAGGTATATAGTGTAGACATGTACATTATCATGCAATATTGATTATCCAAATTCTAAGCACATATATTTAATAATAGTTATAGCAATTGGAAGAATGATTGAATGAAACTTTAATATGATTTTCTCCTCTCTATTATATAGCTCTCAACATCCTCTCTCTTTCATTCTCTTTCAAGTAGCTCCATCCATTTTTTCATGGCATTTCTTTCAACAATTCAGCTGGGGAAGAAGTGTTCCTGAATGAGAAAGGGGAAGCAACAGGTGGATTTGACATCACCAATTTGATCACTTTTCCAAACAGATCCTTTCAGAGAGTTAGAATTGGAAAGATGGATCTGCAAGCTCCAAAAGGGAAGGAATTATCCATGGATGAAGATTTGATTGTCTGGAGTCCAGCTTTTAACCAGGTATTGAATTAATGAATCCACCATGCCTTAATCGATTAGGATCCCATATTGAACATAGTCTCTTTAGAAATCTAATTTCTGGGTTTTTTTAACTAAACAATGGCATATTCCTTCAAATGTTGTTGATGATCAATGATTCATCAGATTGACAAAACTGATATTGCAATGTAAAAGCCGTTGCATATTTGGTGTGCATTTCCATCTGAAATCAGAAAAATCAGAAACTGTTTTAAAAACCCTTCTTTTCAAACCATTTTTTTTATTTATGGTAAGGTTCTTCCATTTTCTCGATGCAATGACCCTTGTTTTCCTGGGGACTGGAAGAAAGGGATTGAAGGGGATCAGTTCTGCTGCTATGACTGTGTTCCATGCCCAGAAGGGAAGATTTCAAATCAAAATGGTATGGTAGGAATTCTACCATTTTTCATTAGACTTAAGCAAACTTGTATATACAAGTTTACGATGCTTACAATGGATAAAATGAGTTTCATTGATTTGGAATGCCCAGATAACAAATTTCTTTGACTTTCCTCCCAGATATGGATGACTGTTTTGAATGTCCAGAAGATCATTATCCAAATAAAGAAAAGAATGGATGTACCCTGAAACGGGTGGTATTTCTAACTATTGAAGAACCCTTAGGAATTGGTTTAGCCTCATCAGCTCTTGGTTTCTTTTTCTTGACATCTTGGGTACTTGGAACTTTTATTAAGCACAGCGACACTCCCATTGTCAAAGCCAACAACCAGTCCCTTACCTACACCCTGCTTGTTTCTCTTCTGCTCTGTTTTCTCTCTTCTTTGTTTTTCCTCAGCCAACCTGGTAAAGTGACCTGCCTTCTCCGACAATCAACTTTTGGAACCACATTCTCAGTGGCTATTTCTAGTGTGCTGTCCAAAACCATCATTGTGCTGGTTGCTTTCATGGCCACTAAACCAGGATCTCACATGAGAAGATGGTTAGGGAAAAGATTGGCTTTTTCTACTGTCCTTTTCTGCTCCTTTTTCCAAGTATGTATTTGTATTCTTTGGTTGTCAACATCTCCACCATTCCCTGAGTTGGACATGCATTTACAGCTCCAAGAAATTATTTTACAATGCAATGAGGGGTCAGCTTTCTTCTTTTATTGTGTATTGGGCTATATGGGTGTCTTGGCCATTGCCAGCTTTATTGTAGCTTTTCTTGCCCGTAAATTACCTGACAGCTTTAATGAAGCCAAGTTCATCACCTTCAGCATGTTGGCCTTTTGCAGTGTGTGGATTTCCTTCTTTCCAGCCTATCTGAGTACAAAGGGAAAAGCCATGGTAGCTGTGGAGATCTTCTCCATCTTGTCCTCCAGTGCTGCATTACTGGGATGCATATTCTTGCCAAAATTCTATATCATTGTTTTCAGGCCTGAACTGAACCAAAGGGAGTATCTCACAAAGAAAAATTAGTATAACATGTGACTTTTCTCACTAGGAGAAATTTCTAACAAACAAGAATAGGAAGTCCTAGTGACCATAATTACATAAGGATTTCATTTAGGTAACTTGATTTCACATTTTAATGAAATGGAAAAATGAATTGAAGTACCTATTAAAGTAGTTAGAGCTATTTTCTGTTGCTGATCTATTGATGATAGAAATGAAGACATTTACGTGCAATTTTCACCTCCTCACAAAATCAAAGATTGTTTTTAGTAGAATTTTCGGGAAAGAGCCTGATATTTGGGCCTTTTCCATTTCGGTTTTTCTATAATTCAAAAGTTAAAAACAGGATATTAGTTTATGTACAGACATCTCTTGTGGGAAGTGATAAAGAGTAAAGACAGAAATTCATACCATGAAATTCTGATCTAAATTTTAGAGTTGGAAGTGATTTTAAAGACAAAGAAGCTCAACACTCTTTCTAAGCCAGGTTATTCTCTAGGTCCTCTGAGATTGCTATTATATCTTTATTTCCCCATCACTACCTTTTTTTCTCCTCTCATTTTTCATTTATTTTAATTTTTGATTAAGGACATTGTGATGTCCTTAATCAAAAAAGGAGAAAAAAATAGATCCATGAAATTATAGATCAATAAGCCTGACATCAATACCTGGAAAGATCTTGGAAAAAGATAATCAAGCAACAAATCTTCCAACACCTTGAAACAAACAAGTTTATAACCTTTAGCAGAATAACAGAATAACAGAGTTGGAAGGGATTTTGAAAGTCTTCTAGTTCATGCCCCTGCAACATGGATTCATCAGAACGAGGTCATGCGAAACAAATCTTATTTCATTCTTCAACAAAGTGACTAAATCAATGGATCAATAATTATACTTAGATATTGTGACTTGGGCTACATGTATATCTTAGCTCTTGTAGGATTTTAAGCATAACTTTACTAGCGTGTGAAATGAGTGCAATGGTGCGATAGTTTGAACATTCTTTGGCATTGCCTTTCTTTGGAATTGGAATGTAAACTGACCTTTTCCAATCCTGTGGCCACTGTTGAGTTTTCCAAATTTGCTGGCAAATTGAGTGTAGCACTTTTACTGCATCGTCTTTTAAGATTTTGAATAGCTCAGCTGGAATACTGTCACCTCCACTAGCTTTGTTGTTGCTCAGATTTTCTAAGGCCCATTTCACTTCACATTCTAGGATGTCTGGTTCGAGGTCAGTGACCATCTCAGTGTGGTTATCTGGGATGTTAAGCTCATTCTTGTATAGTTCTTCTGTGTAGTTTTGCCATCTCTTCTTAATCTCTTCTGCCTCTGTTAGGTCTCTGCCATTTTGGTCCTTTATCATGCCCATCTTTGCATGAAACGTTCCCTTCATATCTCCAATTTTCTTGAAGAGATCTCTGGTCCTCCCTATTCTGTTGTTTTCTTCTATTTCTTTGCACTGTTCATTTAAGAAGGCATTCTTATCTCTTCTAGCTACTCTCTGGAATTCTGCATTCAATTGGGTGTATCTTTCTCTTTCTCCCTTGCCTTTCTCTTCCCTTCTTTCCTCAGCTATTTGTAAAGGTTCCTCAGACAGCCATTTTGCTTTCTTGCATTTCTTTTTCTTTGGGATGGTTTTAGTTGCTACCTCTTGTACAATGTTGCAAACTTCCATCCATAGTTCTTCAGGCACTCTGTCTATCAGATCTAATTCCTTAAATCTATTTGTCACCTCTACTGTATATTCATCAGGAATATGATTTAGTTCATACCTGAGTGGCCTAGTGCTTTTCCCTACTTTTTTCAATTTAAGCCTAAATTTTGCAACGAGAAGCTCATGATCTGAGCCACAGTCAGCTCCTGGTCTTGTTTTTACTGACTGTATACAGCTTCTCCATCTTTGGCTGCAGAGCACATAGTCAATCTGATTTCTATGTTGACCGTCTGGTGATGTCCATGTGTAAAGCCGTCTCTTGGGTTGTTGGAAAAGAGTGTTTGTTATGACCATCGTATTCTCTTGACAAAATTCTATCAGCCTGTGCCCTGCTTCATTTTGTACTCCAAGGCCAAACTTGCCTGTTATTCCGGTTATCTTTTGGCTTCCTACCTTAGCATTCCAATCCCCCATGATGATAAGGACATCATTTTTTGGTGTTAATTCTATAAGGTGCTGTAGGGCTTCATAGAACCGGTCAATTTCATTCTCTTCAGCACCAGTGGTTGGGGCATAGATTTGGACTACTGTGATATTGAATGGTTTGCCTTGGATTCGAATTGAGATCATTCTGTCATTTTGGGGATTGTATCCCAGTATTGCTTTTCCTATTCTTTTATTGACTATGAAGGCTACTCCATTCCTTCTGAGGGATTCTTGCCCACAGTAGTATCCCTGATGGTCATCTGAGTTAAATTCACCCATTCCTGTCCATTTTAGTTTGCTAATTCCTAAGATGTCGATGTTCAGTCTTGTCATCTCTTTTTTGACTACGTCTAGCTTGCCTTGATTCATGGATCTTACATTCCAGGTTCCTATGGAGAAAAAATCTTTACAGCATCGGACTTTCCTTTCACCACCAGATATATCCACAGCTGAGCGTCCTTTCGGCTTTGGCCCAGTTGCTTCATTCTTTCTGGCGCTACTAGTACTAGCCCTCTGCTCTTCCCCAGTAGCATATTGGACACCTTCCGACCTGAGGGGCTCATCTTCCAGCGTCATATTCCCCTTCTTACTCTATCTCTATTTCTTCACTCAGCTGGCTCTGGATGGCAGGCTCCATTAAGCTACTCTCTCTCTCTTCTTCAGCTGACTCTTGTCGATGTCCAGCCAAACACACCTTCCAGTCTCTTTCTCTCTCCTCGGTCAGCTGGCTCTGCTCAACGTGCAGCCAAATGCTACTTTCCAGTCTCTTTCTTTCTCCTCTCCCATCGGCTTCCTCCTACCTTTTCTTCCCTCCTCAGAGCAACAACTTGCCACCAGAACCACAGCAGTTGCTGGAGCTCCCGCAAAACCTCTCAACTGGCCCCATTCTCACCTCAACTCCGCTATATATGAATTGAAATTTAAGGAACATCCTTGAATAAAACCTTATGAAACATCATTGTATGGAGTTTTATTTATTTATTTATTTATTCATTTCACAGAATTTTATGGCCTCCCACTCATTGTCAATGTCATGGTTCCAATAGATGAACCTAATAGAAAAAAGGACTCCGAGACAATTGCTTTCCTCAAAGAGCATTTTTAATGGCTACATAGTATCGCCATGAACAAAGGTGAAACCAAGACTATGAGCCCAATAGACAGATGATCCCAATAGAAAAAAGGACTCCAGGTTGGACTTTATTTTGTCACTTTAAAGAGATTGATTGATTGATTGATTGATTAGATACGTTTAAGATATAGGGAAGTTCCCTTCCCCCAAAGTTACAAAGTTACAAAGATGAACTTCCCACCCCATTTCTATGTCATAAATCACATTCCCCAATGCACTAGTTTGGTGGGCTTTCTAGCAGACACTTCTACCCGCCAAAACTCTGATAGCAATGACCTTGGTTCCCAGAGAACAATTTTAGGTTTTATCTAGACAAAAAGAATACACACAGCTGTTCCCATTTCTGTTGCAACCAAAAAATGAGCTGAAAATGGCTGCAGCCAAATTCATTTGTAGTGTTGACAGTCAGTGTCTGTAAGCTATTTTAAAAAAATGGAACCCAATATATAAACAATAAAAACACACCTGCGCGGATTACAATGAATCAGTTGAGTGACTTCATAGGTTCCAACCTACTCTGAGTTCCACAGACCTACTGGCAAAACCATATGCTCATGTCTTTGCAAAAGAGTGTCAAAGTGGCGGCCAATCTAAACATTGCCTGCCTCCTTGCTCTAGTGGATCATGTGGATCTGATCAGGAAGAGACAGTTCTTCAAATAACTTGGTCCCGAGCCATGTAGGGTTTAAAGGTGACAACTAGTACCTTGAATTGTACCCGGAAGCAAATTGTCAGCCAATGCAACTCCCACAAGAAAGGTGGCATATGTATAATCTGGGTGTGCATAAAACCATACGGGGGCCTGCACTTTGAATCAACTGGAGCTTCCAGATACTTTTCAAGGGCAGCCCCTTATAGATCTCCATGCAGAGTGGTGATTTATTAATTGGTGGCATGACATCCAATATAGTTTATCATTTTTATGAACTGAAATTGAAGGAACATCCTTGTGTAAAACCTTATGACATATCATATAAAGAGGTTTTTTTTTCTTTTTATAATCTTAGCCAGCTCCCCCCAAATTGCTGAAATGAGCAAAAGGTTTTACTGTATCTCTAATGTAAGCCACTCTGTCTTTCAAATATTTCTAGTTGTGGTTGAAGAAATAAGATTCTTTAGATTTTGTTAAGTGTTGGCTATAGAATGTAGGAAAGTTTGGTGCAAGAAATATTTTGAAGATTTTTAGTCAACTCAAGGTATTTTTTTTTAAATTGTGCATTGTTATTCCTCAAAAAAACATACATGCAATAAAAGACTGATACCTGGTGGATCTGTTCATATTCTATTTTGTGAAAAAATGGTAGAAAATCAATGTGGTAACTTCAAAAAACACTTTCTACAACTAAGCATTTATTTTATTACAAATCTCCCTTAAATTACTGTCATTGATCAAAGGGATAGAACGAGAATGGGGGGCATACCTTCAACTACAGGCGAGATATTGGAAAGATAAAAAAGAGTGAGGCATAAAAATAGAACTGATAGGCCAGGATAAAATATTACTAGGTACTGAGGATAAAATGATTAAAAAGCTATATCATTATTTGTTAGATCAGGCAATGTATGAAGAACAGGTAAAAGAAACCATGTTAATGTGGAGCAGGGATTTTGATCTCAACTTAAATCTGCATATCTGGCAAGAATTATGGGTACGAAATAGGAAGCTTACTTTGGCCACTTCCTACAAAGAAAACCTCTACAAAATGTTCTACAGAAGGCATCTCCCACCCACAAGAGTAGCTAAAATGGGTC